AAGAAAAAAATATTTTTTTCAAAAGAAAGATATCTATAAGATGTGCATATGTAGAAAGGATAATCTTTAGATAAAGGCAAATTTTGCCAAATGGCAAAGAAAAAATCTATTATGGCATAGATATAGAAGAAATTAACATTTTACTATTGGATGAGTGTGGAAACAGAAATCAGAAGAAGAAGAGGAACCTAGCAGTTGAAAATTAGAGTTTGTATTTTGCCAAATGGCAATATATAGAATACTAGTGGTATATCTGTGCTACGTGCCGGTTTTTCTAATATTATTTAATTATTTTTACACATAGTTTAAATATATGGTCTGGTTGTTAATACATATTTTCTGTTATTTTATAAATTTAAAACATATTTCATGGTATTTTAGAAAATAAACTATTTATAAAAGACATGATGATTTATTATTTTGATTATCCTGTGAGCGTAATTGATTTTATGATGATTTCAAAATAAATTAAATTCTAATTATATGCATGATAATTATTAAATATTTACTCAAGAGTATATTTGTCTTCATCTTAAAATATTTTAGAAGAATTTATATAATAATATATGTTTTATATTTTAAAGAAATATACATGGATAGTCGACATCAACATCTCAAAGTGAATTATTTTGTCAAACTAAATTTCTAATGAATCCAAAACAAACAAATATTATTACAATACTATAATCACCTACTTAAATGAACTATTATACTTCAATATAATCAAGATGAATATTTTATAATTGATAGGTTTAAATTTTATATATTAAATTTTTTGATACAATGATTAATTAAGGACTTTTTGGTTATCAAATGGATATTTAGCGTTTAGATTTTGTGGTTTATGGTCTTCAAATAAAGCATGTTTGATTTTATGGTATAGTAGACTTCTTCATTCTTCTGTAGTGTACTAAAATTTGAGATTACAAAAATAAAAATAATTTTAATTAATTTAGTTTAAATGGATAAATTAAAATGATAATCTTAAAACTAATATTTAAAAATGCTGAGATCATATAGTAAATTCTTAAAATAATAAATAATAAACAATAATAATGAATACCATAGTAGACTTCCATTAGTATATTAAGTAGATTTACAACAAAGTATACTCCATAGTTTTAATTTTAGTATAGTAGATTTCAAAAGAAATTTATTTTTCTGTAAATTTTAACCTAGTTACAATTTTAGTCCTCCAATATAAATAAAGCTCTTTCCATTCTCTTTAAAACTCTCTCGAATCTCGCTAATGCTCTCACATTTTTCTATAAACTCTTTGAATGTAAATAATTTTTTTTGTCTAATTTTTTAATTTTTCTCAGTATTATTTTGTTTTGTAGGTATTATCATTTATGGTTTTCATTTTTCCCTCTTAAAATTGTAAGATTTAGATATATAGATCTTAAATGTGTATTTTTATGTTTATATTCAAATAAAGTTATAGATTCAAACTATATGCATTTATTTTGCTACTATTTTATCTTAGCAATTCTATTTTGAATTTTTTCATATTTAAAGTTATTTTTCATGTTTCTAAATGTACAAAATTTTCAGATCTGAAAATTATCCAATACAGTAGATTTCTAATGAAATATGCTTAAAAGTTAAAGCTAGTATGCTAAACTACTCAATTTTTAGTAGACTTCATTAGAAATTTACAAAAATATGAATAAATTTTTTTTTTGTCCTATGTTTTTAACATAAATTTTATCTTATTTTGTAGGCATTATTTTCCATGGTTTTCATCTCCTCCTCTCAAACATATAAGGTTTACATCTCCATAATTTAAATGTGTATGTTCTCTTTATATTTAAATAAAGTTTCATATTGAAGCTCTATGTGTTGACTTTCCTACTAGTTTATCTAATAAATTATACTTTTAAAAGTTTTTTTCTGATTTAAATTTATTTTAATGTTTTCTTTATTTACATACTTTTCAGATCTGAAATTTATCCGATAAAGTAGACTTCTAATGAAATCTAATTTTACTCAAATATGATTTTAAGTTTTTGTCATATGTTATTTTCATAATTTTATCTTATTTTGTAAGTATTTTCTCCCAATTTCAAATCATCATCTCAAAAATGTAAAATTTACATCTGTAGATTTTAAATATGTATTTTGTATTTATATTGAAATAATTTCTAGATTCAAACTCTATGTTTTTGTTTTGCTAATATTTTAGTTTTAATATTGTATTCTGAAATCTTTTCTATAACTAAAACTATTTTCACCTCTTTCTAACCCACCTCTTTTTCTTCTATCATCCCCATTTTCTTTTCCATACTCCCTTTTCTATTCATCATTCTTTATTCATTTCCTCCTTTTCATACTTTTTTTTCTATTCATCATTCTTCATTCATTTCCTCTTCCTCTTTCTATATTTTTACTTGCATGATTGTATCGTACTCTTATTTTTCATTTTCTCTTTATAATTTTTTTTCATATACCTCGTATTTTTCTCCATCTTCTAACTCTCTTCCTAAATCTCTTTTCCCTCCTCATTTTCTTATATAATTCCACAGTATATTATATTCTCATCAAATATAAATACTAAATTTCTACAATTTGTTTATATTAACGAGATACTATATTTTAGATTTAAATATTCATCCTACAAATAAATATGTTTTTCGTATTAGACACTGTTCAAACTCCACTGAACACTCAATATAAAAAATGTTAAAGAAATTAAAACCTTCTTTATAGTTGTATTTTTGTTTGGAATAACCTATTCTATATTGATATTATAAATAGAATACTATTTAGTTGTAGTGTGTTATACATACGCTTATGCGCCCTGAATGACGGGAAATCACCAATTCCTACGTTAACATGAACCAACGATCCTGGCCAGTTAATAAAAACGTTATCTATGTGAAAACATACCTCAACTAATACAAAATTTAATTTTCATACAAATAAAAAATTCAATTTTCATACATGAAATTTCAAATTTTGGTTTTAACGTACATTGGTTTAATTTCCACTAATCAAACATTACCGAATATAAATTGTTTGTCACGTGTTGATTAAATAAGGTGTTTATTGTATTATGTGGTAATTAAACCGTATTACATGGTAAATGACTAAGAAAAACAAATCATTTAGACCAAATGATTTTGTTCTCGTGTAACTCATTAATTCGCTTTTCTCTTTAACTTTTTTTTTTGACATTTTCGGCAAAAAACTAACAGAAAGAACACAACATAGTACACAATCGAACATGGAGAAACGAGAATGTCTAGCTTATCAATTCTCGTTTCTCTCTATTCAAAATTTTCATTAGTTGTCTTCTCTGTGTTACTTTTTTGCCAAAAAGTCGAAAAATAAAAAATTAAAGAGCAAAGCTAACTAATGAGTTACAGGATAACATAATCGTTTGGCCTAAATGATTTATTTTTCTAAGTCAGTTACCACGTATGGTAAAAACTCTTTAAATTAATAATATTGTGATTATGATATTTTATTAATTTATAGAGTTATTAATTCATTAAACATTTGTTTATTTAGATTTTTCATTTTAAAATATATTTTTCTAAAATAAGAAAAATATTTTATTTTTAATGTATATACATTGATTAAGTTTTTGCAATTCATTATTTATACTGATTTTATTGTATTATTTGATGTATATAAAATATGTTCAATAGAATTTAAATATGGTTTTAGATATAATTTTACTAAATCTCATTAAAATATATAAAGTGTTAAGAAAACATAAAGATAATTCTACTATACATATAACACAAATAATATAATGGTTTATTTGTACTATATAAAATGTTTATAGATGTAAGTTGTTAATTTATAATTTTAATGAGACCACATATGTAAATTGAATTTTCTAAAAAATATTATTTTATTATCTTATCGGTTTGTTTCATATTTGGGACCGAAGAATTTTATTATTTTATGGTATTTATTAACTTATCGAGTAGTTTCTACTGAAATGCGGTTTAATTACCATACGTTACAATAAAAACCTTATTCAATCAATATGTGACATACATTTTATATTCGGTAATATTTGACGAGTGGAAATTAGGCCAACGTATGTTAAATCAAATTTCGGAAGTTCATGTATTAAATTTAAATATTGTATTAGCTGATGTATGTTTTCACACATGTGAAGTATTTATGTATTGACTGAGACCGTTGATCCTTGTTGATGTAGAAATTGGTCGATTTTATGCTATCTATGAATTTAACGTTTGACTAACGAAAATTATGTCAATGTTTGTTAAAATCACATTTTAAAAATCTATGTGTGAAAATTGAATTGTGTACTAGTTAATGTATGTTTTCACATAGATAAAGTATTTATGTATTGATCGGGACCGTTGGGTCCTATTTGTTGACGTAGGAATTAGCCGATTTCTCGTGCAATATCCATTTAGATAGTAAATTAACACAATTTCAAGAGTGCATATTTTGTTAGTTTTTTTTTCTACAAAGGTTACCACAGAGTTGATTGTTTAGTTCTTCAACTTGTTCTATGGGTTTGTGGATAGAAGCTTTTTCAGGTCCGCCCCAGAGCTATATGTCTGGTTCTGTCCGTTAAGTTGCAGATTGTTTAGTTCTTCCCTTTAAGTTGCGTTCATCGGCACCGGGTTTACGGTTCTTAAGACTACTTGAGTGGTAGTAATACGAGTATTCTCTTCCATAATCTCAGTTTTAGATTTCGTTTATTTCTACTCTAATTGTTTGGTTTCGGAAAGTGTATGTTTATGGCTCCGAAGGGGGGTCAAGAGATCATGTTATTATATAATTTAATAGATGACAAAAAAGAAGGTTATTATGCCACAAATTCACCCAAATCGAAAAGCTAAACTAGAGATTAAAGAACTAAACCGAAAGTGATAACCGGTTTATCAAATAACATAAAAATTGTAACATCATATATACTGTACACCTATGTGTTACCTGAATCGTATCTCCGAGACGAGTCACTGGTCTAACATATCTCCATCAGATCTGATCCTCCTCCGGGTTCCGATATGTCGTCTTCCTCCGCCGTCCCCGTTTACTCCATCTTCGCATGCGTCTTCCTTCTTCTCTCTCCGGCTTTGGCCTCCGAGTCAGATCACAAGGTTAGATTCGAATCATTAGCTCGATTCGAGTTCTTTTGCTCGTAGATCTCGCTGTTGCATGTTGTTTCTGTTTGTTTTTTTTAGGCTCGGATCTGTTAATTTTTGAGTGTGTTCGGGGTCGGAGGTTCGATTCAGCTGCTTCTTTTGCAGCATTATAGATTGGGTGTTGATATGATTTCTAGTGGTCGTTGATTGAATCAGACAGTGTCCTAGCTTTTTATTTTTTATTTTTTTACGATAACTGTCAGTGGATGTTATGGTGATGATTATAGGTTCAATTTGCCACATTTAGTAGAGAACATTGTGGCTGGAATATGCTCACTTCAGTTCCTTGTTATGATGATGTGTCATGTATGCGATCTAGATCTTGATGGATTTTAGAGCTTGAGAAATTAGCTTCAAATAATTCTAAGTGAACTTAGATTTTGATTGCCTGATGGTAGTGTGACCAGGGTTGTTGCCAGTTGTCGAAAATTAAATGTTCTGGTTTCTTGTTTCAGTTGAGGTTTAAAGATCTGGATATTTTCAATGCTTTTGCCTTCAGGATGCCCTCTTTTTCTTTGAGATTTTCTTATGTAGTTCACTCTTTAAATAAGTATTTAGTTCAATCGTAATTGCATGTTTCACTTTTATTTTTTTTCTGTTTGATCTGATACTTTGATAAAGTAGATCATGCGTCTAACTAGAGAAAACTTATTCTGTGCTAAAGAACAGTCTTATATTTTGAGTAAATTATAGTGTTGCAGTGACGAGATATGTATGGGTTTCCTTTCTATTCCAAAGAATGATGTCTTCCTGTGTCTGCATTTTATGCCGATTTTCCCAACATACAATTTTTGGACTACAACATAAGTCTAGGCTTGATATTTGATTCTTTTATCCTTTTTTTTCTGTTTTCGTTTTTTCATCTCGTTTGATCCCTTTTGTGTTTCCATCCGTTCTCATTCACCCACCCAAAGTGATGAAATGTGAGTCTTCTGATTTCTTTTTTCTTTTTCAGTATCAAGCTGATGAGCAGGTTACTCTTTGGGTTAACAAAGTTGGCCCATATAATAATCCACAAGAAACATATAACTATTATAGCCTCCCGTTTTGCCGCAAAACTGAAAACAGCATTCACAAATGGGGTGGTCTTGGGGAGGTCCTTGGTGGAAATGAGCTCATCGACAGCCAGATAGACATTAAGTTCTTGAGTATGTTAGTTCTTATGCTAGTTTTTCTTTCAATTTTTTTTATATCTTGATGGCACAACAGTTACATTGCCTACTTCTGTTTTACTCCCAGAAAATGTTGACAGAAGCGTGATCTGTAAATTGGAACTTGATGAAGCTAAGGTCAAGCATTTCAAAGATGCCATCGAAAATAGTTACTGGTTTGAATTATTTATGGGTATGTATCACATTTACTTATAAAAGAAAAAAGTTGATTCTTTCGACTGTAGAGGAGTTACTGTCAGTTATAGTTGAAAATTGAAATTGAAAGTCTCTATGCACATTAAGGGATTTCAACTTGCTGTGCTATGAACATTGTTTAAAATGAGCTAATACTACAACATCACCGTAAATTCTCTATTCTTGTATCAGTGTAACTAATTTTTAGCATCCTTCATATGCTAATCTGTTGTCTTTCTTCTTATTGACATTTTATGTTTATGGCGTACGTGGATGCAAGTTCAGATGATCTGCCTTTGTGGGGTATGCGATTTTCTTATACTCAGTTTGAACAACTAAATTTTTAGTTTCAGTTCCTGACAAAGATTTTTGATCATCTCATTGTTGTTATAGGCTTTGTAGGCGAATTGCCTCCTGGAAAAAATAGTGAAAACGGCAAGCATGCTCTTTACACTCATAAGAGTATTAATGTCAAATACAACAAAGACCAGGTCGGTGGTTTCTTTGCCTATAAGCAGTATTAAGGATCTCATATTTACTCTTCTCTGATCTAATTTTTTCTTATTTGCATAGATTATTCATGTGAATCTCACACAAGATAATCTAAGACCGTTAGAAGCAGGGAGGACGGTGGACTTGACATATTCTGTGAATTGGATCCCAACCGATGTCACATTTGCCCGTCGTTTTGATGTTTATCTAGACTATCCATTCTTCGAACACCAGGTAAATATGTCTTGCTGTTTTCATCTTTCTGCTATCAAACATTAACGCATTACACTGAATGCTTTTTTGCTTTCTTTTTTTATCAAACTGCTAAAACCTTGTCTCAGTAATTTTGTTTTTAGAAGTCTTTTGTTGGGGATTTTAATGGATTCGTTCATCATGCAGATTCATTGGTTTTCCATCTTTAACTCGTTCATGATGGTTATCTTCCTCACTGGTTTGGTCTCAATGATATTAATGAGGACTCTCAGAAATGATTATGCTAAATATGCTCGGGAAGACGACGACCTGGAAAGCTTGGTGATGTCTCATCAACCCCTTATCTAGAATAGCTGCATAAGTTCCTTTTAATATTACTATTATGTTGTCAACTTTAGCTTCCTCGTAAGTGCAAGAGTGTTGATCAACTTTTGACGGTTTGTATTATTGAGCACAGGAACGGGATGTAAATGAAGAATCTGGATGGAAACTCGTGCACGGAGATGTGTTCCGACCACCGTGTAGTCTGGTTCTTCTTTCGGCTGTTGTCGGTACAGGTGCACAATTGGCTTTGCTTGTTCTTCTTGTCATATTAATGGCAATCATTGGGACACTTTATGTTGGGTATGTATTACACCCTTACTTACAATTACTTCTCATGGAATAAGTGTGCGGTTTTTGTCTGAATATCATTCTTGCAATGAGAACTTCTTATTCTGGTTTAAACTCATATTCAGGAGAGGAGCGATCGTCACAACTTTTATAGTTTGCTACGCTCTGACGTCATTTATCTCTGGTTACGTGAGCGGTGGAATGTACTCAAGAAGTGGGGGTATGTTGTATCCCTTGTTGAAAGCAGCAAGCAAGCTCTCCAATAATATGCCTTCCGCTAACTCATTCTCAAATTTCTCTTTTGTTTGTTTGTTTGTTCAGGTAAGCATTGGATCAAGTGCATGATCCTCACGGCTTCTCTCTTCCCGTTCTTGTGCTTTGGGATTGGCTTCCTCCTAAACACAATCGCCATATTCTACGGATCTCTTGCGGCTATTCCCTTCGGAACAATGGTAGTTGTTTTCGTAATTTGGGGTTTCATTTCGTTCCCTCTCGCCCTCCTCGGGACAGTCGTTGGTAGAAACTGGAGTGGTGCTCCAAACAATCCATGCCGAGTGAAGACAATCCCACGTCCAATCCCTGAGAAAAAGTGGTACTTGACTCCAACAGTAGTCTCTCTTATGGGAGGTCTATTACCCTTTGGCAGCATCTTCATCGAAATGTACTTCGTCTTCACATCCTTCTGGAACTACAAGGTGAAAATTCTCGTACATTACAACTTAGAAAGAGCAACACTTACTGTTCATTTCTTGATGGCGTCTTTCTTGGTTTGTCTGATGGCAGGTATACTATGTCTACGGGTTCATGCTGCTTGTCTTTTTGATTCTCGTTGTGGTGACCGTCTGTGTGACGATCGTGGGAACATACTTCTTGCTGAATGCGGAAAACTATCACTGGCAATGGACATCGTTCTTCTCTGCTGCTTCCACTGCGGTTTACGTCTACTTATACTCGATCTATTACTACTACGTGAAGACAAAGATGTTTGGGTTTTTCCAGACCAGTTTCTACTTCGGATACACCTTGATGTTCTGTCTCGGCCTCGGAATCCTTTGCGGTTAGTTATTTTCTCCACTTTCTCATCTCACTTCAAAATTAGCATTGGTTTTGGTCTGAAGATAGTTTGGTAATTGAAAAAATAATGTTGCAGGAGCTGTTGGGTTCTTAGGATCGAATCTGTTTGTTAGAAGGATCTACAGAAACATCAAGTGCGACTAGAGAGACTTTTACCAAACCAAGAAAGAAAAAAAAACGCGGGATATA